GCCCTGCTCCACCCCCCCCAGCTAATCCAGGATTTGACCTTTCCCATCTCCTTCATGTTTTTTTTTTTCTTTTTCTTTTTTTTTTTTTAAGATGACCAGTAAGGGGATCTTAAACCATGGCCTTGGTGTTATCAGCACCACACTCTCCCGAGTGAGCCATGGGCAGGCCCACCTTCATGGCTTTTAAAGCTCTCTCTTGGTTTCTTTCTTTTTTTTTTTTTTTAAAGATGACTGGTAAGGGGATCTTAACCCTTGACTTGGTGTTGTCAGCACCACGCTCACCCAGTGAGGTAACCGGCCATCCCTATATGGGATCCAAACCCGTGGCCTTGGTGTTATCAGCACCACACTCACCCGAGTGAGCCACGGGCCGGCCCTGGGTTTCTTTCTAGAAACTACTCCTAGCTGCTGCTTACCAGGTACCCGGAAGCTGAGCTCTGTGAGTGTGAGGCAAAGAAGCTGGCCTGGCAGGAGGACACCTGAGTCCCTCTCCAGGTGCCACCACTAGCTGTGAGTCTGATGAATGTCTGCCCCTCTTTGGGCCTCAAGTGAAGATAAAGTCCCCCAAAGCACAGGCATCAATATCTGGATTGGGTAGGATGCAGGGTGGGGCTGGGGGACGTGCATTTCAGCACTGGCCCTGAGAGGCTGTGCATCCCAAAGGTGAAGAGGTCCTGGGAGGATTGTCTGGGACCCTCCCAGCTCTATCTCCTGAAACCCTCTGGGTCCTGGGAGGACTACAGAAGAGAGGAAACTGATTGACCTGCAAACCAGATTAAGGGATATCTTTGAAAGAGGAAGGGGCAGGCCAGCCCATGGCTCACTTGGTAGAGTGCGGTGCTGAGCAAACCAGATTAAGGGATATCTTTGAAAGAGGAAGGGGCTGGGTCATCAGAATGAGGGAGAGAGATAGAGAGCTGATTCCTTTTCCCCTCCCCCAGGCCTGAGACCTCTCAAGTCAGGCTGGCCCAGCGGAGTCCAGCGGTCAGAACAGCATCTGCACACTGCCCTTCTAAGCCTGTCCTGCTGCAGCTGACAGGGCCACTCTGGCCTTCCCCGAAATGATGCTTTTTGAATGGTGAAAGGACAGAGTGTCTCGGTAGTGAGCACAGGGACACTGCTCAGCCTCAAGAGCCTTGGCCTCAAGTCAAGACGTTTTCTAGGCCACCGCACTGGGAGTTCCTGCTTTGTCCAGGCTTCTAGAGGGCCTGGGGGTAGAGGAGCCCAGACTGGGGCTGGTGGGAGAAGAAGTTCAGAGGGGTTAGTCTGGGCGAGGGGGGCAGGTGAAGACAGAACCAGGACGTATGCCCAGCTGTCCTACGCCAACAAATACACCTACTGTGTGCCAGGAACGCAGGGAGGTCCCCTTATGCTGAGCCAGCAACTCCCCTGGGACACCCCACCACAGGCTTGTAGTGGAGGCTCCAGACCTTCGGGCCTTACTTTCCCCATCTGTAATTTGGGATAACAGAAGGAGCCCTGGTGAGCAGTAAATAAGATGAATGCTTCACTGCTGATAATGAGCGTGGCACAGGGCCTGGCCCTTAGTAAGTGGCTACTAACTGGTAGTTGTTCGCTAAATGTTAGCCAGGGCTGTTCTGTGTGGAATATTGTTTATTTTTATTTTTTGAGCTTCCCTAAGTTTTCCAGATTGGTGTTATGATCAGAGAAAAGACCACCACTGTGATCTTAGGCAGAGTGGAGAGTCCTGGGGGTGGGAGGATGGGAGAGCTGGATTTCCCACTGTTCCTTCGTTCTGCTCAGCTTTGGGAAGTGGGTGGGCGGTGTTTCCATTGTTTTTTCTAAAAGCTAACCAGCTCCAGATTGAACTCTCCTGCTCCAGGCGTTGGGTGGCCCTAAGTCCGGGGTAGGGGTGGGAGTGGGGTGGGGTGTGGAGGTTGGTGGGGAGGGTACCAGACCAAACAGGAGGGGACATCCACTGTGGAGACACAAGAGGGTCTTAGAGGGGGTCACAGCCCAGATGCTCAGTCTCCCTGTCAGAAAGCCCACGATGGAGACAGAGAGGGAGGGGAGGGAGTCTTGGCTCAGGCCTGAGGTCACGTGGAGGGGTCAGAGTCCCCATGCAGGAAGGAAGGATAGATTCTGGCTTGTTCAAGAGGGGGTGTCCAATCCGCAACTGTGGCCTCATCACTAAGGCCAAAGTTAGATACAATGGCCTTTCTTCCTTACCCAGACTCCTGCTGCAGGGCCCCCACATAGGCCCCGCACAAGACTGCTTGGCCCAGGAGGAAGACAGAAGACATTTATTAGCAGCCAGGCCCTCCACTAAAAACCCCACCTACCCACAAAATCATCGTAGTTCCTTGGGGCAATCCTGCAAGTTTGCCACTACCATCCTGATTTTACAAGGGAGGAAAGAAAAGCCTCACCTCAAATATATGGCAGGACTGAAGGCAGCTGTGTCCACACCAGTACCTTCAGCAGGCCCCAGAGGGGCAGGGAGCTGAGTCAGGCCTTCCCATGGTGACTCTCTGCCCCACCTGCTCAGAACCCAGGGGACTCGCTGTTGGAATTGTAAGGACCTCTGAGAGGACAGGTGGAAATGACCACATAGATGGGAATAAGGCCACAGGAGGGAAGAGATCTGCCCAGCTTCGTGAATAGGAAACAGAGCTGGGACAACAACCCAGGGCTTCTGGCTCCCATTCCAGCACCCTCCTCTCCCAGCCCCCACCATCAAAGCTCATGAGGGCCCAAACCACAGGCAACTGGGAAGGCACAGAATGTGCTGGCTGTGGGATCCGTGGCCAGGGCCCCTCCTGGCACATCACAGGTGCTCCGTCCAGCAGCTCACCACCTCCAGGAGCTGCCTCCGACGAGCTCAGAGAGAGGAGCAGAGTTAACAATTCTGGAGGTACCCAGGAACGGTCACTCACCAAACTACTCAACAGGGCCCAGCAGGCTTCAGAGAGGTAAAGGAAGCGTTCCCCAGGACACAAAGACCTCCAAAGGCTACTTTCTGTTAGAGATTTATTTGATCGTTTAACGGAGTCTATAAGTTCAGACCCACATGTAACGGACTGCTTCATGGTTGTCAGAGGCTAGTGTACATTATTTCTGATGATTACATCCAATGACACAATGCAGGAAACACAAATGGACAGACAGATGGACATGATCATCAAGACAAGAGACGCTAAAACGTGCCTTAGTGTCCACATGATTGATCTAAGGCAGGGACCCTCTTAAGGTGGGGATCCAAGTGATGGATCTAAAGCAGGTGGCTTTCCACCAGCAGGCGCTGACTGGGCTATTGGGTATGCCAGGTACCTGGGATGGAAACTGGCTTGGAACCAAAAACTGGGAGACTGCCCTCCCAGCGGTGATCCCCTCAGGGCCAACCCCACCTCTAAGTGTCTGCTCGTCATGAAGGACCAGGTGGTGACAAGGCTGATGTAAGCAGCGGAGACTAGCAGTAGTGCTGGGCAAACGCATGACACACGAGGTGGGCAAACAGAGTCCGGGCAAAGTAGCTTCTCTTGGCTCCTTAACGCTGTGCGTGGGGCACAGGGCAGGTACAAGAAGGGAAGGAAAGGATGGAGCACCATTCACCCGGGGATTAGCCAACCCAAGTCTCCTCCCTTCTTGGCAGCTCCAGAACATTCCCTTTGGCCGACAGCCACAGAAACGAGCGTCTGCCAAGACACATGAAGAAGAAAACAAGACACGAAAAAAAACCCAAGAAACAAACAAAAAAAATCCCTGCCCCAGGAGAGGAGAGGAACAAACAGAACTGCTGGACCAAGGTCACACCAGATGCGGGAAGACATCCTGCACCCTGCACCCAGAGACAGGAAATGCAATTCAAAGTCTCGCTGCTTCGCTCAAGGGAAACCACCACCCACCCTGAGACTCCAACTCACTGGCCTGTAGTGTCTCTTTTTTTAGTTTTTTTCTTTTTAATACTCAAACCATCCATTTTCAAAGCTTAAAAAACACCTAAACTTTTGGCTTTAAAAAAAAAACCTAAAACTGCCACAAGAACTGACAAGGCAAGCCCCAGGCTTGGCCTTTCTACCTAGAGGCCTGCTCTCCCACAGGCCCCCAAAGCCCAGCGCAGCACCCCTAGGGTGACTGTCCTATAGCTGGTTTACCCTGGGCCACTCTGATCAAATCTGGGTGGGCACTAAATGCCGGTGGCATCGCTGAAGAATGGAAAGGGGAACACAGCCCACCTCTCCTTAAACACCTCCCATCTGAGCTGAACTTCCTGGGGAATGTATAAGTTATCTGGAAGGAGGAGACGGGAGGTGGAGGAAAATAAATACCAAGAGCTAAATAGGTATCCCTGGACCTCTGGCATTGCCTCAGCCTCTGGAGCAGAGATGGCCTCCAGAGGAGAGACCCCGACTGTCCAAATACTACACTCAGACGGACTAGGTCTCGGTCTCCCCTATGTGCACCTGCCCTGGGGGGCATGAGTCTCAGAGGGAGAAAAGGGGCCAGCCCCTCAGATGCTGTCCTCTCGTCCCGGCCTGGCTCACATCCGGCCCCAGGCTCCTGCCCGGCCGAGAGGCTGGACTGGTCATCCAGGAGTCCCGGGAGGAGCAGAGCCTGGCCCTCCTGGTCCGAGGACTTGTCGGTGGCACCGCTGCTGGCTGCTCTGGGCCGCCCCGTAGTCAGGCCTGCTCCTTGTCAGCCCTCCAGAGCCGCTCCTTCACCTCGGGGGGCAGCGTGTTGAACAGGTCCTCCTCCACCACCAGGCCACTGCGCTTGAGTAGCGGGCACTCGCCCAGCTCCACGGGCAGGCACTCTAGCCGGTTGCCCCGCAGCTCGATCTGCGTCAGGTTGGTCAGCTCGCCCACCCGCGAAGGCAGCGACTGCAGCACGTTGTTGCCCAGGTGCAGGGCCCGCAGCTTTCGGCACTGGAAGAGCTCTGGGGGGAGCGCCTCTATCTGGAGGGGAAGGAACAGAGGGCAAGTGAGGCGGGTGCAGCTGGAACTGGGGGGGCTCTTGGGATCTCCACCCTCCCTGCCGTAACTGCCGGCACCTTCTCTGATCCCCTCATGCTGAACCCCAGGTACAATCTGGGCCAAAGTCTGTACATTAGGTCTTGGCTCTGCTGTCACTTCCTCCAGGAAGCCTTCCCTGACCTTCCGGGGCACATGGCACCCATATCCCCCACTCACAGCATTGATCCTTCTGTCTGGTACCCCCTGGTCTGTGGGCTCTAAGAGGACAGGACTGGATCTGCCTTGTTCCCTGCTATCTCCCAGCTCCCGGCACCTTGAGAAGCATATTATCAGTGGCCAGCTACTACCACCTCCACCCACCTCAACATCCCAGGGCTCCCCAGGAGCCAGGCTGTCAGTTTGCCCGGCTTAAGAACAATTTATGAGAGCAGAAGAGCATGCTGAAAAAATTACACCCCCTTAACTCTTCCTGAGAACTGGGGAGAGTTCACGAATAGGGGTGAGAATCCCAGCTGTGTCACTTCTCCTTGCTGGGCCTCAAATTCCTCCTCTGTCAAGTCACAGGGTGAGCATGAGCACAGGGAGCCCAGTACTGGCCATTTGGAGCCCCATCTTGTGATTTTGCCAAATGTGAGGAATAGGCACCACCCATATGCAGCTCACGACAGGGCAGGCTGGCCCTGAGCACTGATACTAATAACTCACTGAACCCACAAAACTACCTGTAAGTACTCTGTAAATACTCTTCCCATTTTACAGATGGGGAAATGAGGCCCTGAAGAAGCCCAGAGGTTCAACTGGTAAGTGGTGGAGCCAGGATCTAAACCTGGTTCAACGACCCATGCCCTGCCAACCGTCCACACTGCTGGTGGGGCAAGGAGCAAGGAGTGGGGCCAGCATGGGGCCATGCCACATCTCACGGCACACAGGGAGAGCCCCATGCGTGCTGGCTTCTTCCCTGCCCTTCAGTGTGTGATCCGCTATAGACATGAGTTCTTACTGAGCCTGTCTGTCCTAAAACTACTTCCTTCAGATACGATGGGCAGGGGGTGGGAGCCAGGGACTTGGGGGGGGGCCCCCGATCCCAAGTGAAGATGATGGGGAGACCGTACAGTAACCACTCTGAGGCTGCTCCATCACTGTCCTCGTTCTGCTGCTGAGGATACTGAGGCCTGGAGAGGTGAAATGCAACTTAAGATTACCAGGTGCACAGCCAGCAAGGTTCGCGAGGATATGAGCCTTGTTTCCTCCCACTCAGAGCCTGCACTGTGTTCCCATTCTGCCGCACATGGCACTTAGTTACAGTACAGCCCTGGGAAGTTCCTTTCCCTCCCTGGGCCTCAGTTTCCCCATCTGTAAAATGCAAGTGTTGGACTAGAAATGCCTCTCAGCTCGGACATCTGTGGCTGAGGACCTTTTTGCAGACATGGACCTCAGCCTTGCAGGCTCTTGCTCTCTCTGACCATTTCTGGAGGAGAACCCCGGTTCCTGGGGAGCAACTTAGCCTTCCCAGCAGGGAAGTAAGTGTGGCCAAGGCCAGGCAGAGGCCATGCCATGGGGGACACTATGGATGATTGCAAGGAAACTCTGGACCTGTGTATCTGAAAGCACCACCGCTGTGCCCAACGGTCAGGAAAGGGGCAGGGTGGTTTCAAGGTCAGCAGGGCTCAAGGTCAGGGACATGAAGGTGAGAGCGCAGAAGACAGGAAGTGGGCTCCGCAGGTACCAGGGGCCAGAGCCTTCCCAGAGGCCCCACTCCCACCCCCAGTGACCTCCTCTGATGACAGTGGTCAGGGGCAACAGGAAGGCTCTGGCCAGTGAGTGGCAGGGCTGGGTCCACCAGAGTCAGTCTGGCTCCAGACCTCCCTCCCTGAAAACCCCCTTTCCCAGAATACCCGCTGACCCCAGTGAGCTCTCTACAGACCCATCACAGAAAAGAGGTACTTTCAGTTGCTCAGGTCCCTACCACAGCCACAACTGTCCTTTGGACCTGTCCTTCCCTCCATAAGTGTCGCTCGTACACTGAAGGCATGAAATTATTTCCCATCCCCCCAATCCCACCCTCTCCCACCTCCTCGGGGACCTCCAAGTCTCCCCCATCAGCACCAAAATAGCCTCATTTCAGTGAAATTGTCTAACTGGTATTTGAAAAGGACAATTCTCCATTGCTCATGGCTCTCTGACCTTCCCGACCAATCATGTGGAAAGATGCTCTCTCTCCTCAGTCCACCATGATCTGGCTTCTGCTCCTGTCCATCCTGGACTGCTGTCCAAAGTCATCAACCATCATTCCTAACCCACCAGACGTAAGTCCGCTGTCCTTTCACCTGACTCCCCATGCACTGTGAGCCCACATGCTCCACCCGGCCTTCCTCTTCTGCCATCCATCTGAGGGCTCCAGGCAGACCCCTGGCCCTCTCCCTTTCTTCTCTCCCTGGTGATGTATCAAGGAACCCTCTTTACCCATAAGCTCAGAGAAGATGACTTCTCAAGCTTTAGGCCAATTCAACATGGTCCCTTGGGTATCCCAGGGGCCCCAGACACCTGACATGGGACACACTCTTGCCTCTCTGAGAGCATGTGCTGCCTCCGGTGTCCTGTCTCAATGACCCTCCATCCACCCTGGAGCTGAGTGAGAACCCTCAGTCACCCAGACCACACCTCCAAGTCACATGTCCTGTGGACTCTACCTCCAAGGTCTCCTCCAAATCTGTCCATGTCTCTCCATCCCTAACAGCCACAGCCAGTTCAGGCCTCATCCCTCACCTGATGGCCTATCAAGGTCTCCTAACAGGTCTTCTGACAGCTCCTGATCTCTCATCCTGCCTCTCACACCCATGTCTCTCCATCCCTAACAGCCACAGCCAGTTCAGGCCTCATCCCTCACCTGATGGCCTATAAAGGTCTCCTAACAGGTCTTCTGACAGCTCCTGATCTCTCATCCTGCCTCTCACACCCATCCCTCACTGCAGCAAGGGCAGCCTCTCTGCACTGCAAATCAACTCATTCCTTCATCCACTCAATCAACAAGACTGGTGAACATTTGCTACTCCTCAGGCACTGAGCGAAGAGCCAAACTCCTAGTCTCAGAGCTTATGGGCTGGCAAGGGGGCCAGACGTTACACAAATGAAGAGACGAGGCTGGCCAGGTAGCTCAGCTGGTTAGACTGCGGTGCAGATAACACCAAGGTCCACAGTTCCATCCCTGGACCAGCCAGCCGCCAAAAAAAGAAAAAAAAACAATGAAGAGACCATTGAAACTGAAGTGGAGGACAGGCTCTGGAGCACACATGCTTCCGCCCTCAGGGCAAAGTCCACATTCTCTGGCAACTCTTCCCACGGCTCCTCCCCCACTGGCTCTCAGTCCTCCCGGCCAGCCTTACTGGACTCTCCCCTCCTTCTTCACCTGGCTACCTCCTCCTCGTCCTTCAGGGGCAGGTGAAATGCCCCTTCCTCCAGAAGGCCACTCCTCTACGTGCCCCAGCAGAGGTCTTGTCGCATTGTGCGCTAACTGCCTGGTTACTTGTGGGCCTTGTTCGTCCCGCGTCCCCAGCACCTCGCTCCATAGCTGGACCCTAGGAGTGCTCAAAAAACATTTGGCAAATCAGTGAACAAGTGAGTGAATAAATAAACACCTGCCTTTTTTTTTTTTTTTTTTTCCTTTTTGTCTTTTTTCGTGACCGGCAACAGGATCGCAACCCTCAGTGTTGCGCCCACCGCTCGCTCAGCCAGTAAGCGGCCGGTCTGTATGTGGGATCCGAACCCTCGGCGGGAGCACCGCCACACTCCCAAGCGGCGCACTGTAGCAGTGCGCCACCGGGCCGGCCCAACACCTGCCTTTCTAAGGTATTCATTAGTATGAGTGTAAACCTAGGAAACAGCACCCAAGGGCCTGAGCCAGGCCACACACACCTCTCCCTGTCCACCACAGTCCAAGGTGCCATCCAGCCTGAAAGTGAGGAAGGAGCGAGACTCAAGCCTACAGCATAAAAGGAGAGCCTGCCTGAGACTGGCCCAGATGAACTTTTTTCCCTATAAAGGCCTCTGGCGTTCCAGGGGGTGGAGACAGGACGTGATTAAGCAGTGTGCTAAACACGGTGTCCAGAGGGTCTGTGCTTCCTCTGGGACAGTGTGCCTGCTGCCAGCTCCTTTCCTAAGGGGTGACCTCAGCCAACAGGCATGACACAAACAGACAAGCTTGGTGCAAGGAGCTAGGGGTGGGAGCAGGATGCAAAACCAGGTTGGAGGCCGGAGGCCAGAGGTTGGCCCGCACCCTCACCCACCGGGTGGGAGAGCGCAGCACAGTAGCTGGGACAGAGCAGGCCTCACAGAGTTGAGGGATCAAAGTCTGAATCAACTCCTGGGGCAACTGGGCTTCAACACTGTGCTATGGGTATGTCATAAAGAAGGGGTTAGGTTTGTCCAGTGCTACCCGAATGTGGTTTCTCCCCAGACAACTCCAATTTTCCCATTCCGGGGGGCCTGCTGCAGATCTGCCCCTGCGAGAAACAACCTGAGATCTGAGATTTGACCCTCACCCTTGCACACTCTCATACATGTACACCAGTCATAATTTGGGGGAGGGAAACAAGGATTTGTCACAATCCCATATACCCAGAGGAGACAGCTAGTCTGCAGTAAGAGACTTGGGAAAGAAAGGAGGAAGGTTTCTAAGCCCTCAGAAGTCTGAAGGGCCTGGACCCTCCAGTCTGAGTGATGCTGGAGAGGGTGTGTCCTGTCCTGGGGTCAGAGAGGACAGGACAGGGGTGTTTCAGGGGCCACCTGTCTCTGAGGCTGCTGGAGAGAGCTCCTGTTAGGAGGACTCAACAATGTCAGTGCCAGGCGGAAGTATCATGCCCAGCACAGGGCCGACGCAGAGAAAGTGCTCAATAAACCAACAAGGGCTGTCTTGGGGCTGTGACTGTGACAGAGGCATAGAGGTGTGGTGGCTGAATCGGCGCTGCTGCCCTGTCTCCCAGGGTCCTGGCCTCAGGCTTCCACCAACACCCACCTCACTGCAAGGATCTTCACCTGAAAGTAATGCCCAGGAAGACCTGCAGGTCTCTAGGAGGGGTGGGCAGGGGGAGGTTCCCCCCAGTGGTTGCAGTTTTGATTCCACTGCGGAGGCCAGACCACAAAGCCACAGGAGTACCCTGCCCTCAACCCCACCCTGCCTGCCTCTGCCAAGGTGCCCTTGGATGGGAGGCTTCCCCAGACAGGCAAGGGACTGGGCAAGGGGGCCATCAACAATCTCAAAGGTGTCTTAAGGGCATCTCAAGGGCGTGGCCTCTCACACTGCCAGCCCACAATGGTTTGCACAATTTCCTCTCCAGAAAGGCAGGTGGTGACAAGCCAGTCTCATCTAAGCCCAACTCTGCCCTTCTCCACACCCAAATGCAGAGAAGAGAAGAGCACGAGCAACATGGGAGCTGCAGAGGCCACCTGGCTTCACCTCAGCCAGCACCGGCCACCCACACAGTTTCTGTCCCTGATGGACCCAGACTGGCCCCTTGACTCCAAATCTGGTCGGGGACAAGCTAAAGATACTGCAAGTTCCAGGCTAAGTCCTGCCTCCTGCCACCTGTCCCCAAGAGAGAACCACAGGCCTTGGACCTCCTACCCACGTACACCCCTGCCTAAGAGGAACCTGGCTTGAGGTCACCTTGGGACGGGCCCTGCCTGGCCATACTATCTCTCCTGGCAGAAGACTGCAGCATTTCATGGCACAGACAGGCTCCTGACCTCAGAAATTCTGATTCAGCAGGTCTGGGATAAGGCCTGGGAGTCTGTATCTTGAACAAGCTGCCTCCTGGGTGGTTCTAGGAACCTCAGGTGAGGACTCCAAACCCAGAAGCATTGACTGGCCCAAGACACTGGGCTTCTTGATCATCCTAACACAGGCCATATGCTAGGCTGTGGCCAGGCTACTCACCCGATTAGCCGTGACAGCTAGATTCTGGAGGTTCTGCAGGAGGCCAATGTCAGCGGGGAGGAAGGTCAGGTTGTTGTGGCTGAGGTCCAGATAGCGCAGCTTGCGGCAGTAGAAGAGCTGGGTGGGGATCTTCTCAATCTTGTTGCGGTTCAGGTAGAGGCGCTCGAGGTTGGTGAGGTTGCCGATCTGGATGGGGATGTAGGCGATGTGGTTGTACCACAGCTTAAGGCAGGTGAGGCGGTGCAGGTGCTGGAAGCTGATGATCTCCTCGATGGTCTTGAGGTTGTTGTCCTTGAGGTCGATCTCCTGCAAGTTGTGAAGGCTGAAGATAGAGTGGGGGATGCGCTCCAGGTCACAGCGGATCAGCTCCAGCTCGGTCAGGTTCACCATCTTCTTGAGGCTGTTGAGGACAATGAGTTTGGTGCCCTCGTTGTTGATGGATAGCTTCTGCAGGTGCACGCCCACGTCCGTGACCACCTGCGGCAGCTTGCTCAGGTTGCTCTTGAGCCGCAGCACCTTGAGGCGCTTAAGCTCCCGCAGCCCGTCGATGACAATGTAGCGGTTGTTCTCTGCGCTCAGGTTGCCCGTCAGGTGCAGCTCCTCCAGCGTCTTTAGGCTGTAGATCCACAGCGGGATCTCCTTGATGTCAGTGAACTTGATGTGCAGCGCCCGCAGGTTCTCACGCAGGAAGGCCAGCGCGGGGGCCTCAATCTTGGCTGCCGTGTGGTACAGCCACAGCTCCTTGAGGCCTGTGAGCTGAGCAATGCTGGGTGGGATGGTCACGTCGGGGATCAGCTCCAGCTTCAGAACCTCCAACTCAACCAGGTCAAACACGGTGTCGGGGATGCCGCTGAGCATGAACAGGTGCAGCTCCAGCTTATCCTGTGCGTTTTTAGTGAGCCGCTGCCGAAGCTTGTCCAGCGTCCACTCGTTGTTGAGGTTCAACTGCCGAAGCTTGTTCTCACTCACCTCCGACAGGAAGACGGCGAAGCGCTTGGAATACAGCGGGTCGTACTGGTCAATGAGGTGCAGCATGAAGGCAAAGTCGTTCTTGACATCAGGGATGTCGCTGTAGCTGCTCTCCTCGCGGATCGACTCAAAGGAGTACTTCTTGAGGGAGCGCCGCAGCATCCACCACAGCGTGTACATGCAGATGAGGCCGTAGAAGATGACCAGGCTGATGTAGAAGGACGCCAGGATCTTGAAGAGCGTGGCCAGAGGGTGGGCACACCGGTAGGTGCGGTAGCCTGTCAGGCTCTCGATGTCCACGGTGCAGTCCACGTCGAACTTTATGTTGTGCACGTAGTAGACGGTGTAGCAGATGATGAGGATGAACTTGATCACCTTGATGATGGTCTGCCGCATGTAGAGACGATACACAATGTCCCCCTCCTCCACATGGGTCCGAAACTTCTTCACCTTTTCAAACAAAGCCTTGGCCTGCTCCCCCTCCTTCTTGTCCAGCACACCTGTCTCCGAGCGATCCACGATGCCCTGCTCGATCCGTGACTTAGTCCGCTGCAGCATGGGCACGGTGGCCTCCACGTCCTCGCTGACTGTCGATGACTTCTTGTCCATGGAGCCATTCATCTTGCTGAAGGCCGGCTTAGGGTCACTCTCCTCTACCACTGTCTCCGACAGGGCCCTTGTAGTCCAAGGCGAGTCGAAGCACTTGAGCAGGATAGACACAAAGTGCTCCAGCTTCGAGCTGGTGCGTGGGAACTTGAACCAGAAGTTGCTGCAAGCCAGGAAGATGAGCGTGTGCAGAAGCACCAGGTAGGGGAAGTACTTGGCAAACCAGTGCAGCCGGTTCTCATAGCACACGGCATCCACGTAGTTGTACTGGTGCCGGTCCAGGTCATACTTGATGCCTGTGGGGCCTGTGTCAGGGGTCGGCAAGATTGTAGAGTTGGGGTAGGTGGGCTCTGGGCCAGGGGCTGCCCAGCTCCGGAATGAGTCGTTGCAGGAGTCCTTGGTGACCCACTTACAAGGCAGGCAGATCATCTTGTCCTGGGTGACCTGCAGTGTCCCCCCAAAGACAGCGATCATCAGCATGACAATGGAGATGTAGTCGGTGAAGACGTCCCACCACGGCTTCAGAATCCGGTATGCTGGCTGTGTGTCCGCAAAGTAGCGGAGCTCTGTCACTGGAATCATGATTCAACCTGAAAGGGACCCATAGGAGGGGGTTACCACAGGGTGGCCTGGCTTTCCCGGGACCCAGGGGCGAAGGGAAGAAGACAAGGAAAATTCCACCACTGTCCAAAATTCCACTCCACGGGGTGGCCACCAATTGGCCCCTCTGCAGAAACCATATGGTCATTTGTTGGCTGGGAAACCACCCCAGGGCAGGCGGGCAATCTCCCCCCTTAACAGACAGGAACACAGTATGCTGAGGTTGGGGCTCATGCTGACAGATAGCCAACGCACCCTCCCCACCATCCTCTCACCCCTGCCCCACACTTAAATGATTCCAACCATTTAATGATCAGATTGACACAAGAGCGGCTTGTTTAAAACTCCCCGTTCACTTGGAACCAGCCACTGTGAAGCTACAGCAGTAACCCGAAGGGATTTCTTTGAAGTATTAGGAAAGCAGAACGCAAAGAAGGCGTAACACGAACTCTTGTAAATGAGTGAAGTTTAAAAATTCTACATGTAGGGTTCGGATCCCTGTACCAGACAGCCTCCAAAAGAAAAAAACAAAACAAAACAGTCTACATGTGTGCATGCAGCTATGTGTGCACAGGATTCTGGGAGTACTCACAGAAGACTGGAAGGTCACACACAGTAGATCTAATGACAGGCTCCTGGGGAGGGAGGACAAGAGAACAAGGCTGTTCTCCACCCCAAACCAGATGACACCATCACACTGAGGCCCTACGAAAAGTCACCTCTGGTTGCATGTGTGTGTAAAGGATCAAAAAACAGCAGCAGCGGAAGGTGGTCCCCCTGCAGTGCAGTTTGGCTGGTCTTGAATAGAGCCTGGGAATCTGATTTTTAACATGAGACTCTGGCAACTCTAATGATTGGCAAAGTATGGGCAACACTGGATCAGAAGCCACATTCAGGAAATCCAGCCCGTGCCATGCAGGAAGTGTGCAACAAGATCAACGTGGGAAGGATCCTGCCCTTGGCCATTCACGAGCTCCCTGCCAAGGCAGGCTGTGCTTACAATGGTCTGTAAGACTGTAACGAGAGAAAAAAGGTACCAGATGTTCACTGGAGAACATTTGAAAAAATACAAAAAAGCATAAGGGTGAAAAAAGAAATCCCACCCAGCATTACCCACTGTTAACTTTGCATTGAGTGGTAACCTTCCAGTCCCTTCCATGCATCCTTTTTAAAAAATAAAATTGTGCTTTTACTTGACATCCTATCTTCTAACTCAGAATCTAGATTTCAAATCAAGTTTTAAATATCTGTGTCAAATAGGTCTTTTTCTTTTGAGAGAGGAACAGGTGTGCCCAGGTGATGGGACTGGACTACTTTATCTTGATTACCAATATTAGTAATGACAATGACGAACCCTTTATGAACAGGACCTCTCAGCAAATGCCAAGTTTTTCCCGTCCCATCTTTCTAGGATACGCTGGGATGGGTGGGAGGACAGGAGGAAAGTAGAGGGGGCTCTTGTGTGAGGGAGGCGGAATTGGGGCACTTAATAGAGGTGATGACAGTTGCAGCGGTTGCTGAGGGCCTGGATGTGAGCCTTTGCACAGATGGGGGAACTAAGGCTCAGGGAGGCGAAGTCACCTGCCCAACATCACTCTGCTATTGAGTACAAAGCTGAGACCAAACCCAGCAGGCCTGTCCCTCCACCACTAAGTGCAGGCCCTCACATCTGTGTGGGGCTTGCTCTCCACCTGCTGGAGGTCCCACACACAGGTGGTGCCAAGAGGAACCCGGCCCAGGAGTCCAGCTTCCCTTCCTCCTGGGTTTCCCAAAGCTCAGGTCACGGTGAGGCCAGCAGACACTACCACCCACCGGGGGCTGCTGGGGTCAGCCCTCCTGGTGAGGCCAGGACTCATGGGCCAGGGCAAACACAGGAAGGCCCAGGCCCTCTAATGACCAGCTGGCTCCACATGCCACCCACACTCCTGGACAAGAGTGGCACTCGGGGAAGGGTCTGCTGAGTCACATAGCCGCCTCCACTGAGACACCCAGACACCATCCCTGGCTTCCCAGCTCCCTGAGCCTTCAGCCAGGGCAGAGGCCCCAGGATTGGGGACTGGAAAGGAGAAGGGACCAAGATGAGAGGGCCTGAAGGCATGCAGCAGCCTGCACCAAAGAGTCCCAGGGACACTGTCAGGGCAGGGAGCCAGCCATTTGGGAGTGCGGGCAGCTTATGACCAGGCAGGATGTGGCTGTCCGCGGGGAGGGGGGCATGTCAGTTCAGTGGAGAGGTCCCCTCCTCACATGGAGGAAACTCCTCGACCCTGATATCCCCAGGCTTCCACAAATTGCCTTCCTGACTCCTGGTTCTGAGTCGGAGTGCTCACAGCTCCACTGGGCAGGTGAGGGAAACTGAGGCTTGGAGAGGTAAAACCACCTGCCCAGGGGAGGAAACAGTCTGTTCCCTTCAGGTCTGTCTGACTCCTGCCCACCCTCTTCCCATGGCCCCCCATCTCAAAGCACACCCTAAACTGTTCAGCCCTTGGCTAGGTCCTGTGGGGGCAATAAAATTGACCACGGCATGACCCCGACCACAGGGTCCTTTGCATCCAGTGTGAGCATGTGGTGCGAGTACACAGAGGTTCAGAGAGGCTGAATCCGAGCCGGTCACACAGCTAAGAAGGGCCAGGACTGGAGTCCATTGCAGGCCTGGCTCGGCTTGTGCCTAGGCCTGCCCTTATGAGGGTGGCCTGTCCCAGGGGCCACCCCCTAGCTGCACCCGTGTTTCCTCCTCACCTCTGCTGTGTGACTCTGAACAAGTTGCAGGGTGTTGTGGGGGAGAAGAGGAAAGAAGGTGCAGGTACGAACTCCAGGGCTTTAGTCCCCAGGGGTACTGGGGAAGAGGCAACCCACCCCACAACCAGGCCCCCAGTAGGAGACAGCCAGGGGGTCAGAGCAGCCTGCTGCACCCCCAGTGTGGGGCGGCTCCCCCTTCACGTGGCTCTCGCTGAGGATGAAGGAGGGATGCCAGCACTGCGGTGTGGGCTCTTGGGCAAGCTCTCACTGGCTTCACATATAAACAGCACAACAGCGCACAGGGCTGCTGGGAAGAGACCAGGGAATCCAATGCTTTGAAAGCGCTTAGCACAGAGGCAGTCGGTCTGGGTTGGTATTATCATGTCTTCAACCTCCTCATCACCTGAGCCAGGCCAGATGCTCCTTGCGGACAGGAGTCTTCTACACACAGTAGGTGCTCAATAAATTTAGAGGTTTCCCCTGAGAGCACCTGAAAAGGGACAGGGCAGGCCTCAGCCAGGAGGAGGGCTGCAGTTTCAGGTGGATGTGGGCGGGGGCGGGCCTGCAGGGCAGAGCAGGAAGCTCAAGCCCCGGGCCCTGGGCCTCTCCCTCTTCCTGCCCAACCCCAGGGCCCGGGGAGGCAGCTCAGTGACTCGAGGTGACTAAACACCCACAGTTAGAGCAGTTCCCAATGCAGAGACTGAGGGCCAAGCCCAGATCCTCACAAGAAGCCAGGAGGTGCCCATTGTTTTCATGCCCATTTTTTTCTGTTTTTTCTATATTGTGGTAAAATACACATAACATAAAATTTATCATCTTAACTGTCCAGTTCAGTGGCATTAAATACATTCACATTGTTGTGCAGCCATCGCCACCACCATCTCCAGAACTCCCTTCATCTAGTAAAACAAACTCTGTCCCCATGAAACACTCACTCCCCTTTTTCCTCCTCCCCGCAGACCCTGGCAACCACCTTTCTACTTTCTGTTTCTATGAATTTGACTTCTCTAGGGACCTCATATATGTGGGATCATACGGTATTTGTTCTTTTGTGACTGGTGTATCTCTCTCAGTGTAATGTCCTCTAGGTTCATCCACACTGTAGCATGTCATAATTTCCTTTTTTTAAAAGGCTGAATAATATTCCTTGTGCTCATTTTATAAATAAGGAAACTGAGGCTCAGAGAGAGAAGTCATTTGCCCAACTTCACACTGCCTGTAAGTGGCAGAGGCAGCCTTTGCACCCAGATTGGCAGTGGAGCCCAGACAACAGCACTTCCAAGGTGGGCCATTCAGCTGCACCAGCCCCCACCTGATAGCTCTCCTGTCCTTTCCAAGAAATCTCCCACAGCAGTGCCCTCCCTGTGCTGACCCTTCCACAGCTGGCACTGCCTCCTAGCAGGGGTGTGAAACAGCTTCTCTCCAGGGCCTCAGTTTCTCTGTTTGGAAGGGAGCAGATAATCTGTCACAGATGTGCCCACACTGTAAAAAGTGGACCAAGATACAGAGGAGCAGGTGGCCCCCGGCCTCTTTCCAGCCTGAAATCCTCCTTCCTCCTAATCTGCAGCCCACCCTCAGGTCAGACAGCAGGGCTCTGGCCCTAGAACTGCTGCCACCACACAGACATGCCTTGCTCTGACCATTCCCGCCTCTAGCCGGCAGAGAAGGAGAGATACTGTCTAGCAGTTGGAACACCTTCCCCTCTGGCACTTTGGTTTCCCCATCCATAACATGGGGACAGTGACAAATGCCCTGCCGAGCTCTCAGGACTATCATGACAATCATAGAAATGGGATTTCCCAAGCTGCCTGTGTGGGACCTCGGGCAGGTGGAGAGCTAGCCCTGCACAGCAGCGAGGATGTCAGCTTGGAGGTGGAAGGACAGGCTGGGGCCAGTCTGGGCTCTGCCACTCACTAGCAGAGTGACATTGGGCTGGTGACTTCAACCCTCTGAGCCTTAGCTCCCCCATCTGGGGAATGGGGCTAAATATAGGCCCCACCTCACAGGGCTGTTGAAAGGCGGGGGCCTGAAATACTCAACACATACCTTGTGCCAGGTTCAGGACTTGAGCCTGGGGGTGGGAGTGAACAGGAAGTGCAGAGCAAAACAGATACGGGCCTGGCACCCCCAGAGCAATCCTGACTTCAGCAGACACTGACGAGTGAATGAAAAACACATGGGAGAGTTAAGTAAGGAAACAGAAGATGGAAAACCACCCAGGGAACTCCCGGACACCTGGTGAAGAGACAGAGCT